GGGGGAGGAGGTGGGAGGCACAGTTTAGGAGAATTATTGACCAGAAGGGACACAGATGGATTGTAGCCCCCACATCAACCACATCATATGATCAACCACGCCCTGTTATCTAAAGATTTTTCAATTATTGCTGTGGGAAGAGAACAGACTGCATGCTTTCCCTCTCTCTCTCTCTCTCAAATCGTCACAGGCATTGCACTCATGATTTCAGGAATCTTAGAGAATCAATGGAAAATGCAGACAGTAATTATTAGGCCGAAAGCCACAACAACCAGAAATCTGAAAGTCTTGCACCCTTTTGACACCTCCATTTTACTGCTGACGTGGTTTGAATTGCATGTGTTACAAAAATTATATATGAGCTAATTGGGGAATTAATTTTTTTGCGCGAAGTTAAACCTGAAAGTTAAAACAAATTCCGATTGCTTTATGTGATTTTCAATTTCTCCAACTACAATTGTATCAATACTTAAATGTCATTGTCACACACACACACACACACACACACACACACCAAGAAATCGAATGAACTCAACGGCTTATTTGAATTTTCTTCATTTAATAGTTCAAATGGTATAAAAATTGAAGTCATAATATCGTCCAAATATCTAGACTGGAACAGGTCTATGTCGAACTTCTTACCTTGGTGTAGAAAAAAATGTAACCAAATTATGAGTCATTCATTTATGAGATCGCGAGTGCTTGTAAAGTCCATTCATTAAATCCGTTGTCACCCAATCAATCCGAAATCTAGGCTTCGAGGCATACCAACTTCTCATAAGATTTCAAGGTCAAAACAGCAAAAAATAGGCACCATTCACACCTCCACTTTATTGACAGAAAATATCTTCCCATTTGTAGGGAAAATCGTCATATCCCATTTACCTTCAGTACTGAAAGCCAGGCACATATCCCCTTGTCTGAATCAAATTTTGGTGCAAAAGTGCCTGCACACTTTTTTCACCAAATGGATTATTTGCATTTATATTTCATTAAAATTTACGAAATGTTGCAATTGACTTCATAATGTGAATCCTAATAACGCTTTCAATAATAGCTCTATTGTATAGTAATAATACTTAATTTAGTCAATTTGTTTAGCGTAATTCAAGAAAAGTAAATGCGTAAAACTTCATACTGATTATGATACACTTTCTTGCATTTTATCAACGGATCAATAATTATCGGAATAATGGGACTCTCTGAGCTGTAAAACGTCAGTTTCAAAAAAGCCCTAAAAGACGAAGCTTAAGTATATAATCCATATAGTTTTCACAATTACCAATTGTTAATTCCTCTTGTCTAGAACTTCGGTATTTCCCTGTTGCATTACTGGGTAATTAATTGCCTATACCGAACAGTTGTACGTAGGATTGGCAACATTTGGTGTAATAATGTGGTTGTTATACACTGGACATCGAATCCACCTTGAAGACGCATGACTTCAGAAATGTTAATATCACTTTTTTATAGCAAAATTTGCTTAGGAAACAATCGCTTAGATACTAAATTCCAACGCCTGTTGGTTAGTTAGTGTTTCAGCCTCCTATGATCATTAATGGAACCCGAATCATTTTCCTCTGGAATACTCATTAAATGAACACACAATCGAAAGATTTTGGCAGGGTGTTGAGATTTGAAAAAAAATATTATGTCATAATCTTACTGTACTAACAGGCTGTCCAATTACAGATTGTTCCGTTGATGAACCGGGTGATTGAGGTAGAAGGTAGTAGTTGCCCTCGCTTCCCGCAACTCCACTAGTAACATTTGCTGAAGCTCTAGTTGAAGGTATGATGTAGGCGAAAGCAGCAGCAGCAGCAGGAGTCGACGAAGTTGTATCAATAATATCTCCGGCAGATGGACGATGCCTCGGCATTGAAGCCATTCTAATGGTGTAGCAAGAAGACTCAGTGAGGTGGGATGGAAGTTGGTGGTAGTCATTCCTCGCGCTTCCACGCGTTTTGAAGGTCTCGCCATTGCCATCACAACAGTCATTATCTAAAAAATATTTTTTAAATAATGATAAAATATTGGCAAAATTCTGCCAAATGAGCATAAAATAGCACCATGAATAATGGGACAGAAATTGAGGGAAGATAATAAAACAGACCGCTTGAAATCGACACCTCCTGTATGGCGAACGATTTACAGGGAGATATAACAAATGATGTCCTTTTATTGGGTGAATGTGGATATAACTTAAAAATTTAAACTAAGAAAGCACATAAATTTGTTTAATACTAACTTTCAATACGGTAGATATAGTATTTGTAGGGTGACATTATTGTCGAAAAAAAACGCTTAAGGTATGATTTTATTCTAAAATAGGGGAATAAGGAGGTGCCAACTGTCAATCAAAGTTCAGAGATGAACTATGCATTATCCATGGAAATATAGGGAAGACACACATATCAACTTAGTGGAGAGGCTTGAGATCTTACCTACATCCAATAAGGTCAGGATCTAAAGGTCACAGAGCGAATGAGTTCACCAGAAACCTCGTAATTAACAAACTTGTTAGCAAAACCAAAGGTCAAGGATTCCAAAAGCTATTATCAAGAGGATTGGAGACCGTGAGTTCCTTATCGGAGTTGCTACGGCACTTGTCTTCAAAAAACTTGGGGTTTGTGGAGATTAAAGAGAATGACAATATTCAAGCTCAATCGATAAATAGAACTATAAAGTAGATCTCAAATAAGAAAGCTACTCGATCGATGTTGGCAGATTAGGCTTCAATTAGACTTCTAAAGCGCTCAAAATTAATCAATAAATCAATACAGCATTGAAATCGTCGAGACCTTTAAATCGGATGGCCGAAATGAAAGGTGACACGAGCCTCTCGATGTACTTTCAACTTACACGATGACATTTCCGTTTACAATTGCAGTACATTTTATTGGCCAAAATCCTCATATTCTCTCTATCTCCCTCTCATTATCATGGTTTTAAATGACAAAGTAAGTTTGATGGGCGATCAAATTAAGGTAGGATGTTAAAATTGAACTGTGCAATAAGCGAGCAGTTCATACCATTGAAGGTTGTGTCAGCAAATAAATTTATGGAAGGTAATATCAGGAGAGGGTGTAATAAAAAGCAGGAAGGTCTAACTTGCTGACACTTGTTGTCTGAGCTCATTAATTTTCATTAGGTACAATCAAATATTTGAATGGAAGCGCCATAAGTAAGAGGTGGTATTAATTCAAAATATACAATTTCGCCAAGAGAGTTATTGAACTCAAAGTAAAAGTGGCATTACAACACCATTCCACAAATGCCGTTGGAGCCATTGAGCAGTATCAAGTTTGAACTCATCTCCGAAATTGTGCTTCGATCAGTCCCGTTTTTGCTATGACATAGACATACGGCTTTCTTTTTTATATCTTCATTTTCAAGTATTTTTGGGCTTTTCTGAGGTTGTTTCAAAGATAATGGTTTAAGCTTCCGGTTCTTGGCATTAGATCAGTAAATTGCAAGTGACAATAGACGAGATCTTTTTCAGACACCAGCCTCTTCGTAGTCATTTTAATCTCCAAACGTGATGTAGAGCACATACTGTAGCACAAGTTAAATGAGAAATATGTTACTTTGGAATTATTCATACAATATAAAATAAGTTTGACGCGTGTGTGGACGTGATAAAGAACAAAGATTACCACTGACCTTGAAATGGTGTAACTTATTTCGTTCATTTGAACTCAACTGTCCTCTATTTTATTTAAAGCACTTACTATTTGCCATGTAAATAGGAAATGAACTGCACTCAAAAAATTTTATAATGGACATGCCATACATCTGGTCCCCTTCTCTCAGGTCTTTTGAGTAGTCTAAGTAGAAGCTTAGTTGGGCCAATAACCTTTAATCCCCCCGCCCCCACTCTCCACCCCTCAGTTGCCATATTTTTAGCCTTAATCACAGTAGCGAGTGTGGGGTGATGATCTGCACTATATGCAACCTTTTCTGCTCAATTTCGGCCTTTGTTCCTATTTTACATTGGCAGTGCATTTAATCGAAGATGCATAAACTTGCGGAATAAACAAAATAAAAGGTAAATTGAATTGCCTTGGCAATTTTGTAGTTGTAATACCAAATAGCTGCCTGGGAGCAGAAATCCCATTTATACACTCCCCCCCCCCCCCCCTCCTCTTCTCCCCTTGTGGGATAAATTATGCACAAACATCCGGGTTGACAAGTTGAGTGTCATTATCTGGGCAAATCTTAACTATGACAAATTATGCTTTTGAATAGCAGCGTGATATGACATACTTCAAATGTCTTTTTTTCCAACAACCTGGAAACCAGTTTCTCTATTTCGCTTAACTCAACGCAGTGTAATGTGGCACAAATTTTGCACAGTGTTTATCTGTGAATTTGTTTCGCATGGATGTGCACTGGATTTTTGATTAACAACTAGGAAAATGGTTATTTGAAGGCAATTAAACTCAAGACTGGATGAAAACTAAGCCACTCAACTGGTGGAAAATTCCAGCTGCTTTCATCTCAGACAAGTAAGCAAATCAAGAAAAGGTACATTAAGTCCGGAAGTGATAGTGAGAGGTTGGGTAAAATTATGATTAAGATCGTGGGGTGTGCGATAGACTTACCTCCTCGTGGTGCACCCTGGGCAACGTATACTCATACGGCTAAAAAGTCTATTAACTGGCAGTTGACTTCTCACTTCAAACTACCATCACCTCACTATATGTCATATTCGACTACTTCCATAGTACTCACCTCACCTTTTTTCTACCTCTGTGTCTGTCTCTTTTACATCTTTGAAACACTCTTCTGTCCCCCCCTTCCCTCTCGAATCTTTACAATTTGATGTACCTTCCTCTCTATGAAGCCTAAAGTCAACTAAAGAGCTAATGATAACCATCAGGATGCCTGCCATTTGATATAAAATATATAAATATGATCAAGATCATATTTACTACCATTTGGGGTGAATCTAATCTGTTTATCTCATATTTAAATACAAATTAGCAGAGCTAAGAGGAAATGTCAGCGTCATTAGATTTCTGAAAGGCCAAGTAAAGACAACATCATTCGCACGATACTTGGAAGGGAAATTGAGTCCACAATTTCATTTAAATTGAAATGCAGAAAATGTGTGTAAAAACACTTGTTAGTAGTAGTTTCAATTCTCCAATTATTTCATTTTAAACGTTTGCACGAATTTGCGACATTAATAAATTTAAAAGTTCAAACTTTAGCGCTTTCGTTTTAACCCGCCAGTCTGGCATTTTAAACAAAAAACGAAGGGGTGGAGGAAACAAAACTGTTTAGCATATTTGCGCGCCCAACTTTAAAGTGTGTTAAATATTATTGAAATAGCATTCACGCTAAGTCAGCTGTTATAAATGATCGGATTTGGGGAGGAATATTTCTTGAGGCAAAGTTTTCCCGCCTTGGGTAATCGCAAATGAACAATCAAAGTTGCCAAAATGAAGTGTCATCTGTCAGATGGATTGAACAGCTAAATCTCACCATTGAGCAAAAGAACTACGACTCAACAACTTGACGTTTTTTTGAATAAAATATCTGAATCTTAAGTCAGTCGTTGAATGGCTGCTCCTAGCGTTCCACAAAACTCAGAATGAGGGGGTTCTAAGATTTCTGATTGGGTCGTTCATAGTTGTGATTAGTGATAGCCCCTTGGCATGTCAATTGTTAACAGGCTCCATTAAAGCTTATATAAATGTTCTTTTGAAGTTTTACACATATACTAATCTGGTACTAATCTACCTTCATTCATTCACTAGCTGCAAGACAGACACCCTCTCTGGTACCCTCCCCCCACAATCTCTTTTTTCTTTCCATCTTAACTAGGGAGAAGGTGAAGAAGTACTTTAACAAAAACTCCTCTATAGATTACCAAGAATAGTCTATTACCATTTGATTTACCACCAACCAGCTAAAATATACATTAGATAGAATGCTTACTTGCTGACTTATAACCATTTAACGGTTTGTGGAAGTTCTCCGCGGTGTTTTCATTAACCTCCACAAAGCCATTCATTTTTGTCCCATTGGGTTGATAGTGCCTTGGATGTCCACCACGATGCAAGCGCCTCGGATATCTACCATGACGCGATTTCACTCTTCGACAGAAGATAAACCCTGCAATGAGGAGGGAGAGAATGATGAATGTCACGCCAACAGCAATGTAGACGATAACCATTGTCTCGGTGCCAATAAGGCCGAGGCCTAGACCACTGCCGTTATCGCCAAGGCCCCCCACAGGGCCGTCATTGGGTCCGAGTCCGAGAAGGAAATCGTTGTGCAATCCAACTGGAGCTGATGCGTCCACGAAGATTACAACGTCTGTATGAGATATCTGCGGATGGGCTCCACCATCCTTGGCCTCTATCCGAAGAGTGTGAGTTCCCTGAAATATCGGTATTGCACGATTAGATTTTCTCGTCATTGACATAACTTAGAATGATCTTGAAATATAGACCTTAGTAAAGCTCATTTACTTTCACACCATTATTCTACTATGATCATCCCTTGACTGTCAGAGACTATAAAACTGCCAAAATGTCAATTCTATCATTACCACGTTTGCACCTTTTTGCCATGAATGACAACATCTGATATCCAATTTTAGACACTCACGACTAGGGAAATTAAATTCAAGAGAGGAACCAAATAACTGATCTTTCAGCGTATTTTGTTGGAACTTGCTTTATGAAATCCGTCAGTCTTGTTCAATGAGTGACAAATGTCTCCGCAATTCGAAATGCCAAATCATATTTAAACACTCTCGGAGGCATAGAAAATATTTCTGAAAACCGCCATACATTTGCCTATATGCACTAAATGATAAGCTTCGTGGCTATCAATAGCTGCACACGACGGTTTCAGCACAGATGGTCAGATATACATAAGTGCGAGTGGAATACCAATCCAATCGACAATCTAGAATGAGAGAGAGAGTTGTCAACGGCAGGTCTTTTTCGAACACACCATAAATACTCGAGTTAATGAGTCTATTATACACATACAATCTTAGTTAATAATTTCAACAAGGTTGAGTCATCAACCTTCAATCTGACAAATCCGAGGAAATTTATTGCATGTTTGCTCACTCATGCTAAGTGTTTATAAACAGCAAAGAATGATGAGACCTGATCCCTTCTTCATCATTCGTTTCAGGATGGACTGAGGTTGAATTCAATTTCCAATTTAGAAGTGTTGATAACTGTAGATGCCAAGTTCTGGATAACGAATGGTGATAGCCACTAATAGGCATTGTGCATGATGCTTCAGAATTAGTCTCACGTTACAATTCAGGAAAAATCTCAAGAAATGGCTCTGAGGCCAATTTCACGACTATATCAATCCCAATGTGTTTGGTCTCCGAATTTATCCCGAAAACCCCCAACCCACTCCCAACCCCCCCCCCCCCCCCCTACATCACAACTATCAACCACCATCCAGATCTAGGCGCTGTGGCGAAAGGCACTAATCGCCATACCAGTACTACTAAAGCCCTCTTTCGAAACTGTCTTCATGAGGGCTCGCTTTCTGTTAATCCACTTTGTCCCTAGTTTACTGGCCAACCACTTCACTGCATGTGCGCCGATGAATAACGAATTTGCGAACTATGACCTTGAGAAAGCGTGTGCTCGTTGACCACTGCTCCACCTGCACTTATAATATGAATAATTATTAATTTTTCATTCACCAATCACTTTACGTCGTTTCTGATGAGATTGTCAAATTCATCCCAAAGGTCCTTATAGTAGTTTACTATAAATTTTTCGATTGGGAAATTGAAGAGAGAGGATTTAATTATACTTGACATTACGGACCAAGGGGATTAAAATTAACTTTTCTAATTTTTCCTTAAAAGCGGCACAGTTTAATGCAAACCGAACAAAATTAACATTTAATTTAAAATAGTCAAGCCGTCAAAATGTGCTAAAATTTAATCAAATTCACACATTTTGTGATTAGGATTTAATAATGGAATTTACACTCGGCATTAATAACATTATATCAATAAGCGTTGCTTAGAGTTTTAATTATAAAGCACAAATTTATAATAGTTTTTGCACGAATGAAATTAAATTAAGAACTAATTTTAAATTTTAATTCTAACCTTTTCTCAAATTCACCAAAAGGTAATTAAGTGGGGTTTAGTGAGACAGGAAGTAATACCGTATCATTAACTTCCTAATTCATTATTTCCGTTGAGAGTTCAATTGGCAATTGAAATTATTGAAATTTAGTAATCTTAATTGTTATAAAATGATTTTATTTAATTCAGAGAAGAAGCTATCTTTGAACTACTCATAAATTGGACAGAACATACCACTTGTTCAACCACCATCTTCTTGGCAATGTAGAGATCCCCAGAATACTCTCCGAGTTTGAAGATGGACTTTCTGTTTCCGCGAATTATTCGATAGTAGACGGTTCCATTTTCTGCATTGTCCGGATCAATGGCAACCATTCTTGTCAACACGAACTTAGCGTCTTCTTGATATGATACTCTAATCTGAAAAGACGGGGGGAGGAGGAGGCGAATTTAGTGACGATTTCGAGGAAAAAAAAAAGATATGCTAAATCTCAACGAAACTGATAAATGAATTTAATATTAATTAAATAAAAGATATTAATTTAATACATACAAGGCTGGTAAAATATTGAAAATATTTATTGTTTGAAAGCATCTGAGGACAAAAAATTGAGTCTAATAGTAACTTTAGAGGAGGGACCTGGCTCAAACTTGGAATAAATTCAGACGGCCCAAGTTATTATACCTCAATCGGATTTTCCTGTTTATGCCAGGGGGTTATATTTAGTTCAATGCTTCTCAATAAAATATTTGGATTTCCAGATATTATGAATCATTTACCAGTTGTACTTGTGTTTTGCATTCAGAGCTCTTCAACAAGTTGGTTAGATGGTTGGCCGTGCTTCATCAGGATTATTTTTCACGAAAATTGGCAAAGATGACTGGACGATTACGACTGACATAAATTTAACATCGTTCAAGTAAAACAATAAATTAAGTTCTTCGACTTAGTTAGTTGTACCACGATCTTACTGCCAGAAAACTGCTTGATATGCCAGCTTGTACAAACGAAAACGCATACTGTAGTGCTCTCTCTCTGAAAGACTAGTTGCCACGTAATTGTCTTAACATCATCAGATAAGAGGCAGGATGGAAATTAGAAAGCACTTTTTTACGAAATTTTAACAGCCAAAAGATTGATATCAGTGAATTTACGTGTCACTTTGAATCCCATTACAAGCAGCTATAGTGAAACTCCTGCAACTGTGAAAATTTGACTTGAAAATCACTCGATTCTTGAAATAAAATTGACACAAAATAAACAGATAAGAGAGGTCTCTAAATATGAATAAATCTCCCCCCATATTTTTTTAACTGTTGATTTGCGAGCTAAGAGTGCACTAAATAGTTATTTAAAGCGATTACGTTGGCATAATTGCGGAATCTTTCACTCTCATTCTTGATGTACTATTTTGGCAAACTCACTTTACTGCTGGTATTTGACGGATGAACAAAATGAGGTGGGTTATCGTTGAGATCAGTGACAATGACATTTGCAGTTGCCGTCGCTGTGTTATATCGAGTCCTTGTGTGCCTCCCATCGGAGCTAAACGATCGATCAGCGGTGTTCTCGCTTGTTATTGGTCCATCAATAGCCAGAACGAGTAACTCATACGCAGCTTCCTGCTCACGATCCAGTGTTCGAGTGGTAAAGATGCGTCCCTCGTTGTCAATCTGCGAATAAAAGATGGGGAAATTCATCTCACTCAGTTACGCCACTTATGTGGAAGAGTGCAGAGGTAGCCACAAGCCACCTTGGTTCATTGGCCAAGGTCTTGAAGAAACATTCAATCGTTTCCTCTCACAGTATCAGTCATCATAAACATGTTTTAATTTTCTGCTATATAAGAGGTGAACGATAGACTTCTCTCTACGTGGAACATCCTGGGCAACGTATACACGTACACCAAAAAAGTCTATAAACCGTAAGTTGGCTTCTGACTACAAACTACCGCGACTAGACTCTAGATCATATTTAACAACTTTTAAAGCACTCACCTTACCTTTTTATTTACCTTCGTGTTTGTCTCTTAAATCTGTTAATCACTCTTCTGTTCTCACCCCCACCCCTCATCGATCTTTTGTGACTTTGATGTTTCTCCCCTCTGTCGAGCCAGAAGTCAACTGAAGAGTTTATGATAGCTATCATACAGCTTACCATTTGATATTAATGTGCATATTTATATGCACTCTCGTAGATCCCATTAGTGGAGTGCTTATGTGGAGGTAAATGGCTGTATGGCCATTCAGAATTTTCAGTATTAGACTGATACTAGGTCTGAAATAACCCCCATACTTGATCAGGTATTTGAGGCGTTCAAAGATGGGTAAAAAATGGAATCTTGACCATATTCCAATTGCTTCAATGCAAACTATTCACAAACCGACTCCTTCCTTATTCAAGCACTCCTAGGGTATTTCATTGCATATGAAATCACATTCAGTAGAACAATTGTGAGGAGTGAGATTGTGGACTTATCGTTTAAGAACACTTAGGTCAAGAAGTCGGAATTGAACATGCCCTCGTTCAAGTTTTGTCTTGTTCAATGTCAATGCCTCCTGACTTTCCAGACAGTAACATTTATTCAAATTTGCACCCTTTATCCATAATATTTTCTGATTATAACTCACTTCGTCTTTTTTTTGGAAATTTGTATTTTAAGAAAAAATCTTTTGTCTTTTCAATGCAGAGTGTAGAATTATCAAAATTTGAATAGACAAAAACTCTTTCATTTTAATTATTTATTTAGAAAAAAGCTACTTCCTTCAAACGATAAACGGATTAAATATTTATGGGTGAGATTGGGAGGGGGGTTGGGAGTGGGGGTGGGGGGGGGNGGGGGGGGGGGGGGGGGGGGGGAAGAGAAGGGAGGAGGTGGGGAGTTGATTACTTACTGGCGAAATTTTAACAAAAGAAATGGGTCAATGAAATTCTATTCCCTCTCTCTCTCTCTCGAAAAAAAATCGAGCTATAAAAAATAAAGAAAAATAGGTATGTTTTCCACTTAAAACACACGCAGCTCAACCCTCCTTGATAGAGGGAAAACAAAACTTCGGTAAAATATTATTCAGATTCTAAATTTGTGGTAATCTAACCTGAAGTGGAATCCGATCATAACGAATGCCTGGAAGGAAACCCATTCATGTGTCTAGATCTCCTGGGAGACAAATTAGGAGTTATTTCAGTTTAATTTGAAGAGGATTATTCTTCAACAGTCGACTTGTGTTCTGGAGTAGCGAATTGGAATATTTAATCAATTTTAACCGAGAGATTTACATAATAACTTTTGACTTTGTCGATTAACTTTTTGACTGCAAACAGCCTAATTTTTGCGTATCTTTTGCTAGCAGTAATATTATTCGACTGGATTTCAATTGTCTTGGGCTTTTTTTATCTCTACAACTAACTCCAGTTCACCTAAGAAAACCGTTCTTACTCTACCACTGTTTTAAAAAAAACTAATTGAGAATTGATTAGTGGGTAATTGAAACACCGAACATGATAGACAATTCGTGTAATTGAAATTTTGCAAAGTGAAATACCCATATAGCAAAAATTGTACATCCAAAGGCACAAATAAATGAAGTATGACTTTCTATTACCAAATCACAATCGCTTCGTAAACTGATTAGCTGCAATTACATTGAACAAGTAGAGAAGATTTACTTCAAATTAGAGGTTATTGGTGAATGATAGGGGGGGGGGCTTTACTGATCTAACTTTATTCAATTTTCGGCTTTCTTCACTCCCGGAGTCCGAGTAGGACTCCTTTCATAGCCATTAAGTTTCGATTTACTGCTAATCGGTTCCAATTTTTAGGTAGCTTCAACCGTTACCGATTTTATTTTTACGTTGCCATATTTGAGTTTACTAAACCTCCAAGGTCAGTCTTTGTAGGTAGTGTTTTGCAATGATATCACCTGAGCCAATTTTCTCCATCACTATATCAGATACAAAAATGACACACCAAACTAATTTCAACCTTTTTATTAAAGCCTTTCAGTAAAGCTCAAAGTTTATCATTTCACAATTATCACATTTAGCTCAATATGGTAATACTGCTATCGGTTTATTTAAGTTTCCAAAATGACAATACAGTCTCATGTTAAATTAAACAACAAATGATCCCAATATGGAGTGGGTGCAATATTCAATGTAGTAAATACTTTATGCGGTTATAAACTATTGACAACTGATAAACTTACGCTAAACTGATGATAAGAATTCTGGAGACTGTAAGAAATTCGGTTAAATTCTGGGCCATCACAATCGGTCGAATGGACTCTTCCAACTAAACGTTGACCTTGGAACGACGTACCAAAATCTTCTGTCAAGGTGAAATTGTAGACCGGTTGAGAGAACACCGGAACGCAGTCGTTGACATCCATGAGAGCTAAGTGGACTTCGGTGGAAGCACTTCGTCTTGGAATTCCATTATCGTGGCAAATCACCTAAAGTGAAAGGGATTCTGTAAATTCTTTCGCCTTAAGTCTTGCACACGTTCAACTCAGATAGATATTAATCCTCTATAATGAACTATCCATGGAACAGAATCCTCTAGTCAATGCAAGCTAGATATTTACCCTTAATACTTGAACTAATTTCTTTTGCTTTGAAATAAATTATATATTTCTTGGCCTAATAAGCAACAATTGATATTAATTAAAATTGGGTGCGTGAAGTGTTATAAAACGTTTAAATAAGGCAAAAAAATCAAAGTAGAGTTGCTTATGGCAAATCAATACTTATTAAATCAATTCAACAACATCTTTCAAATCTAAAATTCAAAATCCCCCCCCCCCCAGGGAATTGAAGAATAACAGAATTAGTGAAATGATTAGTTAAAAATATAGGCATTTCTTAAAATTCTATTTATGACAATGTTTAAAAGTTGACTTCGACTAAATCAAATGTAATAATTCAAAATCGTGTATTTTCACATTTACCTTTTTTTATAAAAATTATGGTGTAAATATTTTTTCCATTAATTCTCTCCCTCTATTTCATGCTCTAAATTGTACAATCTATGTTTGCTTCAAATATTAAAATAAATTTTAATTCGACACAACTCTAGTGACCAAAATTATCGTTTTCATATTAAGCCATTTGCGATTCTACCTTCGGTGTTGTTGATTAAAACGGGGAAAGGTGGGTGGGGGTGGTGGGATGTGTGGTTAATCCAGGGATTTTTTGGCTATTTCTAGCAGAGTGGAAATCAGAAAGGAAGGAAGGAATAGATTAAATAAACGTAGCTCATTTCTTTTCATCTATCACGCCTTTTGTGGGTGTGTATGTATGATGCTTTCTTTATCTGAATAGAAATCGAACGCGGCAGATTGAATTATAACCTCCCTAGACCCTGAATGAAGGGTTCTATTTGTGAGAGGACTTCATAACTATCTCCAAGTATATCATGTATCAAGAATACTACACTTGGTATTTCATACTTATTCGACAGTACCGGGTACTTCAATCTAACCTTAAAACTATACTAATGAATCTCACAAAGCGATGTACTTCTCAGTTTGGAACCATGCATTTTAAAACTTCATGTCATTCGACGTACATGATACAAACTTGGCACTTATAAAGAGAGGCATATATCATGAACGAAAACAAGTAAGTTCTGTTGAGTAAAAAATTATCTTCTCTGGTCGCATACTTGTTAATGGAGGTAAGAGATTACATTTGAATCATAAAATTGTACTCCATGATCAGGAAGTTCCCAATATCGAAGAATTTAATCCATCCAGAAAATCGGGGCTTGTGTGGGATGAATTGAATAACAACTCAAGGTTACTACAAATCAACCAACTCACCTGACACATTGACTTTATTATAAACGCCCAATTTACACACTTTTTTACATTACAGTAGACGATTTTACATGCTTCGAAAACACCCTATTACACATTTTCTTGATTGAATTAATTGCTCTAATACAGAATTATCAAAAGATGGAGAAGATTTCGCTCCACCGAGCTTTGGAATATTTCACCAGAGAAGAGGACAGATAATTCCTAGATTAAATCAAGAAATAGCTCCTTTAAGGTAGTGAGCAAATCAAATTTCCAAAAGGCAAATCGATTAATTGTATAGGAGACGCGCCAAAAGCAGACAAGAGTGCAATTGAATATTTGGAAGTCGGAGGGCAAAATCCTGGTAGTATTAAAAGCCTGGGTATAGGAAAACCACATGATCTGCCTATCACAGCAATATCCACCAAATTTGTTATATGCCTGGGTGATGCGTTCGGGTGCATTCCCATTTTGTCAGAAAAGCGGTGGATTTTGTCTTTATGCATTGCTATATATTTCTCCCCTTGGAATTCCAGTATTTATTTCCATCAGTGGGTTTCGGAACTGTGGCACATTTTTACAAAAGGCAATTCTGGTGATTAATTTCTATAAAGGAGATAAGGGAAGGAAAGGATATCCGAAAAATGACAACTCTGGTGAAACCCAAAAGAAGACCATTCATCTCATCACGCAGCTGACAAAAGAAACGAGCGTGTCCGGCAAATCGATGTCACATTTTCCTACTTAAGAAACCCACCATAATGGTGGGCCGGGGGTGGGGGGTTTAAAATTTGCATTGAGCAATGCAGATTAATGACATATCACACTTCAAGCATTATTATTAATGACAATCTTGAGAACTCTTAGGTGTGTGTGCTATTGCCGAAAATTCTCGCTGGGACTTCTCGAATTTGCAGTCACTCCGGAGAGATGGGAGCAAATGCTGGACTGTGAAAAGCACGACGAATGTGATTTGCCAAATGAGAATTAAACAGAGAATCTCAGGCCGTATTTTGAGGCTTTTTCTGTTCTATCTTACAAAATTCCCTTCGTTAACAAATATGCCTCTCTATTTCAATGGTTTCCACGTTAGATATAATATAAATTTGTTTTTTTAAGTGGCAAGGTTTCCTTTGTATATCGTAGAGCCTGGGGTGATAAATCCCTATAATGGAATCTTAGAACGTCGAAACATGAATCAGTAAAAATATTTGGCGAATTTTTCAGCCTGAATGCAATATTAAGTGAAGCGAAACTCGATTGAAGCTCTCGCCAAATTCTCAACTCCCATTCCCACCAATTTCTCGAAAGCAAAATGGTTAATTTCTCGTTCTGGTGGGGAAAACATTAAAGACAACACCACGAGGTCACTAAAAACTCCCGAGGTCATGAAGGTAGAAACTTGCCAATGAAACAAGTCAACATGCATTTCAATTCCACAATCCGGATTCAAAAGACATTGAAAAGTGTATATATATATATATATATATATATATATATA